TCAACGATAACGGTATCTAACAAAAGCATCATTAAAATAATGGGTTAAAAATATATTTTATTATTTAGAGTAGGTACCAATCGCTTAACAATGTGGACTTTTTTTTTCTTTTGTGTGGCCATACAGGTTTTATAGGCCTACTGTTTACTTCACTAGGTATCGCATACAAGCTAATAATATAACATGTTAGTCCATCTCTTTATATTATTACTCTATGTTCTGACCACGTTAGGCAATATGTCGGTAGCAAAGTTAAACCGATTAATGTTTATTCGAAGATGAATTGTTCATATCAACAGCTATACAATGTGATTCTGGATTCGTAATTTACATAATAATATAATACAAGTTAAGTGTACATTTTTTGTTCGTTCAACCCTTATTTCCCTTCCAGCCGTCGAGGGTAGTATTTCAAATTATAAAGAATGCCGCTCGGAATATTTTGTTTGTTTATTTAAACAAAAACGGCGTTTGTTCGAACGACATATTTTCTGCTATCTAACGAGTCAGCTTTTTGTTTTTACTTCGTTTGATTTGTTCAACAATAAGAAGGAAAGATGTAATTACTTAGTGGGTTCGGTTGTGTTTTAATTTTGTCTTATACATTTATTGTATAAGAGATGAGCGATTGCTTGCATTTCAACAATTTCTATATGATGAAACGTTATCCTATCACACAATATGTACATAAAATTTTTGAATTGGTCATAAGTGTTTGTAGTTTAATACTAATATGATTAAGTTGTTGACCAGCTACAGATGTTATAAAAGTGAACGAAACCATAATGGTAAAACTCGATTGAATCAGTAAGGACATGAAGCACTGTTGTAGTATTTACTAAAAATAAAATTATCTCTTGAATGTCCTATTGTTGTATGGTAAATAGTGAAGTATTAGTGGATAATGTTAATTTTTTTGTTAAAGAATTACCAAAAATAAATCCTTATGAAATTTTTAATCTAATTAATTCCATCATTTATTTTTATTTTTAGTCAGTCGGTCGAGGAACTGCAAACGAACCAACCGTTCGAGAAATGTAGCATAATATAAAACATAATGTATAAAAACTTACCGCTATGGGATTGATTTTTATGAACTTTCGTTTTGTTTAATCAAATATTTGGTTAATAACTGACGAATCTTTACAACTCGATAGCGTCTATTATGCATTATAATTTATTCCATTGGAAAAATAAAAACACTGTACCTTCTTTAAATTGCAAATTGAAACATTTTGTTGTTATAACAATACGATTCGTTTAGAGTTTCCGAGAACATAAATCGTCGGAATCTCTTTCATTTAAATAATTTTTTATTATATTAATATCAATTCTCAGCTTTGCAATGTTTATTGTAATATTTTCTGTTGTTTAGTTGACACGCAATGATAACGTTTCCGTTGTTCTTGCGGAGGATTCGTTAGTTATGAAAATTGTATTCAAACTAAATCGAAAAACGTGTAAAACGTTAATGTACCTCTTTTTTTTTCTCCGAAAAGAGTTTGGAAACTTTTTGCAATATTAAAATATTCGCAAATAGAATATTAAAAAAAAAATTGTCATAATAAAAAAATCCCATTAAACCAGCTCGGGAATAAATTGTTTTTGTATTAACTGAAACTATTTTGACATTTTAATATCATACAGTTGTATAATATTAAAGACTGAAAATCCTGTGAAAACTCGATTAAGTAGTATATAAAATAGTTTTAAGGCTCATTCATCGTTCACGCCTTAAGAAATTTTGGCTTTAACTAAGAAAACTTTATTTGAGAAAATCTTGTACAGCGCACGAACATGGCGTTTAATTGTACAAATAAACAACTATGGGGCAATATTGCCGTTTAATATTCATTTTCATTTTTATTAGTATATTTCAGTATTCGGATGTATTGTTTAATTGTACTTAAAGATTTAAATGAAACTTTTCACAGCTAAAACGTTCTAAGCTGTACCGGATAAACGTAAGGGATTTTCTGCTATTAGAGGTAAATTATTTTTTAAAAAAATGGACTTCCTCGCTCAGAGGTGAAGATGTCAGACGCTTACGGGGTCGAACCCTCGCGACCGTCTCTCTACACGTTATGTGTAATGGCCTTCGGAAAGTGCTAACGGCCGAATGAAAAACAAAAAAAAATAATAACCCTAAGTACGAGGTACGGTTCTGTGTGTGGCGTATATATTATTATGTATGTGCTCGGTCGAAGGGTTACAAAAAAAAAAAATAATAATAATAACCCTGAAAACAAAAATCAGGATACGGGTTATATAAAGACCTATTGTTTTATTATAATTTTATTTTTGGCCATCCTACTCGTGCATTATTTTCGTTCCCGGAACTAGATTGCTATATTTTATACGGGTTCAACGTTTGGCTGTATTTTTTTACCATTGAACTTCTAAGCACGTGAATTTCTCGTTTCGACCCCGAGGCCGAGGACGCATAAATATTGTTCTCAAGACCAAACTATCTTTCTAGACCTAAACAAACAATATTATCCTCTTCAGGGCAAATCCCGGTATTTTAGTACCGAAAATACAAATTTAAAACCTTTATGATATATCAATTGTTTGAAAGGTTTTCTTGAAGTTGTTCCGCTATAGTAGTAAAAGTATTTCTGAATAATTATTATTGTTAAAAGAACAGTAAATTTCTGTGAAAACGCTTCAAAAAACGTTTAACTACATGTTCGATTATAAAACAGAAAACAGAATAAATAATATTATTTCGTTACCATGATGATTCTTTATAATAGTATAAGTATATTTTCAAAGTCAACCAACAACAATGACTTTAAGTATACCAATCATTTTAGGATTGTATAGTTTAAGAATTTATAGACACAATTATGTGTGTAATTGACAATACTAATAAATTGGTCGGGTTTTATAAAAATATAGATATAATTTAAATTGTGTAAAGTCAAGCAATTCAAACATAATTATTTTGACAGCATTTGCGGACATTGTTCGGATTTAAATAATCATCTGAAGTAGCGGGGTGATAACAGAAATTAATCTAAAAAAAATTAAAAATTTACTGGCAACGTTGGCGGTAATATTTTGATATTGTTCATTCCTTTATTTTTCATGAACAGTCAAAAGGAGTAGGTAGTATCCAATTTTTCACAAACTTGTAATTTCACATGAGAGTGTATAAAAATATAAATGTATGCATTTGATCATTATAGTATTCGGTATGTGGGAAAGTTTGTCTTGCATGATAATAAGTATAGTCGAAGACGGGGTGATTGAAAACGTCAGAAAAACGAACGCATCCGGCACCTCAAAGGATAATATGCACAGGCTCGGCGAGTTGGAATTTAAATACAAAAAGCACTTTATTTATCAGAGGGTGAACCGACTGTACAGAACGAATGCCGGCAACCGTATAGCTTATTCAAATTTTACGAGGGCAGACAGCCAGTTTGACATAACAATGGAAGATAATCCGACAATTAGTATGCGCTGAGCGATCGAAGGCTATTTAATGCTGAATAGGTCATAAAAAATACTTAACCGATTTTTGAGTTCTGATCTAATGCTGTACTGTTACGTCAATTGGTTCGAACGAGATTTGAGCTAAAACAATTTACGGAGGTCAAAGTTAATTGATTAACTGTAGTCCAAGTGGTAAATGTATTATTTGATGCGAGGGATTCAGCTAGAAAATAACATTACACATATTCAAAACCTGTTAAATTAAATTTTACCAGTGCTAACAACAAAATCTTCGAAAAAATGTTAATGAATAAGTCGTAATTTTAGGCTTAATTTAGATTAAATCTGAGAAACAACATTAAAAGGGCATAATGTACATTTTTTTCCAGTAAATAAGAAAACTTAAGAGGACGATACAACGTCATTTTTTGAGATAGGTACTTTTTATAGGCAAATGTACGCAAAATCTTAGTTTTAAGCTAACATTAAAGTATATTTATTTATATTAGTACAGTAATGAGGATTCTTTATTGGTATAATTAAATTTTTTATTAGACTACCATAGCGGACATAAAACGTTCAGTATCAAATTCATAGAATCTAATATTTCTAAAGGCAGTACGATAGCGGATTTTTAATAATAACTGAATTGTTTTTTTCGATATTCCATTAAAAAAAGAGACCTAATATAATAAATAATATATTATAATAAAATACAATTTTAAAATTTTACTAACGTACAGCGCAGCTCGGGAAATTTATATTCTTTAGGTAAGACAATAATAAGTGGTAGATGCTCTATATCTCTTTAAAAGTCTTTAAAACCTAATCTGCGTATCGTATCCTATTTATCATAAATTCGTTTTTCGATAAAAGTCTCGCTCGGATATAAATTGTCTACGCACCAATACAGACTACTTATAAACACAGACGGTGTAACGCGTTATCTCAATTGAATTTTCTGTACTTTAGCGGGGGAAAAAAACGTTTATCGAACAAACGAGATGACTGTTGCACCCGTTTAAGCGCAGACAATCGCAGGGGCGTGTAACACCATTAATGTCAGTCCTGCCAAGATCTAATTAAAGTTTATACCGAAGCCCGTCGACCGCCCAACGCTGTCTTTTACGACTTTACCGTATTGATCATAATACGAATTGAGGTGTCATAGTTATAATGGATTTTTTTTTTCATGACCGCCCGACGGTGTAGTAGATAAGTAATTATCCGTTTTCGGGTAGGCGCTGTCGCCTAAGGGTACTGAACCCAAAGCCCCGGCGACGTTCCACGTGTAAACAGCAATGGGGTTTACAATGGCGTTAATACCTACCGCGGTGTTAAGCCTATACGTTGGAACCGTTCGCTAGTTATCTTGCATACTAAAATGGCCGTGTCTTAAATTTTCCTTTAAACCTAAGACAATGTTGTTTCGAAAAGACCAGCAACAGCTATGCGATACTCTAAATCCTGTGCTTAGGTTAGGCAAGGTCGGTCGTCCGGAGCGAGCAGACCACCGTTTGTGAATTCAACTAAATAATAATAATAATAAATGTACATACCTGATCTCACTCGTGAAGTCTGAGAACGCTATCCAAATCCGGTCTCAGATCAATGCAGTGAACTGGTTGATTCTTGGGTTTTGTGGTGGTTGTACGACCCAATAACACCACCGACCGTCTACGCCGAAGTAAGCAGACACAACTGTACATTAAAAAAACAAAAAAATACATACAATTTCAACGTTTTTTTTTCTCTATAACAATTAAAACGAAATACGATATAATATTATAGTTATAAAATATACACACATATATTTGTGATGTACCTAAATGTGATTGAAACTAGAAACGGTCAGACAAAGTGTGGTGTAAAAAAAAATAAAAATTGTACTAATGCGTGAGAGAGAATGAGCTGAAACGGACAGGTTGAAAAAAACATAGGTAATAGACCGAATAAGACACGTGTTATTAATGGAAACATAAAGATGTCTCGAGTGGGTGAGCGACGACCGAAAAATAGTATAAATGTGAGGATTATGTTGTCGGACTTCACGTGCCAGAAGTGAGTCGACAAATACAAATGTTAGTAGATAAATAAAAACTTAAGCTCTTAGGTTTCATTGTGTTCGATTTCAATGAAAATAATTATACGATTATTTCAAAAACAGAATGGGTTTTGTTAAATGTGGTATTTTATTCGATTACTATTATATTGTAACCCACTTGACCATACAACAAATGTCGTGACACGGTCAAGTTGAACATTATTGTTTCGAGATTCACTTAAATTACAAAGTATTTCTTGGTACTCTTGGCATCAGCTAATATGTCTCTCTTTTTTTTTTTTTTTTTTGTAATCAATTTCCTTTTCACTACAAAGTCACTCATTTTCTCCCACGCCAAATCGACACATAATGATATAAAGGAAAAAAAATAACGTTCACTACTTCTACAATTTTACAACCACTCGTAATGAAATAAAATTGTGTAATCTAAACGTTACGACCAAAGAAAAAAAAGCCTACTATAAAATATCACTCAGTTGAACTGCCAAAAAAAAAAATCAGTAGATAAGTGAGTTTAAAAATCTTAAATTTTATTAAACGATTAAACGATCGTTTTATAATATTATGTTTCATCTCGAGACTTTTTAATTTAACCATTAAGTTACACTTTTCAGTAAAATTGAATTAAAAATTCCCATTCAACTTTAGGTCCAATGTAAATACTTTTGGAATTCCTAAAATTACTTCATACATTATTCAAATATAAACAGTATTGGAAACCGAACTCCAGCCATTTCATGTCAATCTACTCGAGGTCATTTTTACTGGTATGGCTTTCTTTAATTGTAAAACTGTTCCGCAAGAGGTTGTTCTAGTTTATTTCCAACAACAATTGTCCGTTAGTATCTTCGTTTCTTTGGGTTTTAAGTTCGATCAACTTAAAAACCATGCATAATAAGAAATTCGGCTGCTATTAGTTAAATCTCACACAAACTCTACAAGCAACACACCATCTCTTTTCTTACAATTTGGAATACATTTTACATAAAAAGTTTTCTGTATTTTTATATTCGATGCCAAGTCGAGAAGGTATTTTAATGATTCATGACATGTTTTTGCCGTGTCAGTAATTGGATTTGTCGTTGATTCGTTATGTCTGTACTTTATAACTATATAATTGCATTTTGTTATTACTCTTTGAGTATTATTGCGGTAGATAAGTCTCAATGCTAGTTGTACGTTATAATATGGAAAACAGCGTAATGCAATAATTTTTAATACTATCAAAGGCTTTTTACCGACGGTAATAATATTACCGTTTGTTTTAAAAACCAATGAGATTTTCTTGGATAAAAGCCTTAGCGGTTCATATACTGCTTTTAGTCTAAAATGTCTTTAAAAGTTAAACAAATTTTAGAATAATATAATTATTATCGACGGCAAAAGAGCATTTTCAATAGACCGAGTCTTCGCAACGCAAACGAAAGACTTCATTTAGCAGACAAAACAGGCGTGCAGCTTAATTTAATCATTCAAATACGGCAGAAAGCTTTTAAAAACTGTAAGGTGACTTTATGCATGAGCTCGTATCGCGCACCCGTGGAAAAGGGTTTCTGAAAAAATGGTTTCTGTATCGGATAAGAACGTTACTAATGTGACACCGACCGTAATAATATTTTGTTTTATCCTGTACATTTGGTTTTAAGCTCTGCAAACTTATCTATATTATTTGTTCCAGAAAGAATACAACATTTGACAAAATCTTAATTTAGAGTTTGAACCCTAGTGTAATCAGTAATGAGGATACTTTAATGATTGCCAATCATAGTCATTTAAATAGAATAAATTACAATGTTTTCCCCAACAAAGCTGCTTTGCGAGGGACAAGTATGTGAGACCACAGTATTAGGTAACAGTAGATTTACCAAATTTTCAAAATCTATAGAGTAGCATTTTTATTTGTTTATGATATCTATACTTAATATCTTTTTATAAGCAAACGAAAAAATGGGGAAAAATGAATCTTTACAAATGAATAATTTTGATTTTGCTTAGGTTATCAAAAAAAAAAAATAAAATAAAAACGTTTCCCTGTAGATAAAGTTCTACTGTAATCATTGTGAAAATTGTATACGGTTACTGTAAATACCGCCTTTACATTTTTGTCCCCCGTAAAACCATTTTTGATAATAAATTACGGGTGTATAGCGTTCTCTTAACAATTATTTAAAAAAAAAAAGACAGAAGTTTTGCGGTGTGTTTTGCCGTTAAACCGTGTTTCTGGAAAACTCAGCAATTCCAATGGATATTCGGCTAGAAGAAACCATTAGAATCAGTCGGACGTTAAAACGTATAGCTAAAAACCGATTTACCGATAAAACAAAATTTAATTTACGAGCCGAAAAATTGTCAAGAAATGGGGAAATGCTATCAGTATTGTTTCGAGATTTATTATTAATATATATATTTTTTTTTTCCCGGTACGCATTAATACATTTTTATAGTGTACCGAGAACAATAACAAACATATAGACGACCACTGGCTGTTAAGGGAGGAGCCGTGAAGACGACTCTATTGTCTGGCAATGCTATTTTGTAGTGCTCGGGGGATTACCCTACATCGCGTTCTAACGGTAATTTTTTGCAATGCGTTTTTGGTAAATGACTTAATTCAAATGTCGGTATAAATTTGAAAAAAAAAATTGCATAATGCATTACAAAACGTTTGTATTTATGTGTGTTTTAATATTATTGTTGTATTTTATTTGTTGGCGGGAAGTGTATTTTTTTCAAATGATGTCATAATATAAAAAAATATATGAACAAGAACTTTAGTCTGAAATGTCATTTTTCGTTCTATATTTCTTTTACTGTATTTTCAATAATAATGTTTAATATCTTACTCGCTTTCGAGTATGGGAGAGATGTAATGTGATAATAGTCATTGAACACGGATGTTTATGTACACACGAGTAAATCTATTATGAAATTTCTTCGAAAAATAGCAATAAATAAGTCATGTATATTGTTTCATTCTATCGATTCGAATTCCTACTTCGTTCGCGGAAACGTCTGTTGACTTTATGCGCTCATCCGAAAATTATTATGACGGTTCTTTTAGCATAGCTCACTATATAAGGTTCTTATTAATTCAAACGATTTCGAATATGTTTTTTGTTTCATTTCGAGTCCATTCTATGGCTGCGCAGTTATTATACTTGTGCTTAGATTTGAGCACCTACATAAATGTTGAACGATTTTTCAAAAATGAATTGCAGTGGTTTGTACTAGGTTTAATGGAATTTTGACTTTCACGGTGCCACTCACCACCACGGCGGCGTTAAACGGCTTGCATATACATTTATTTAGGGTATGAAAAAACTGTCATTTTGCCGCTTGGTCCCATTCAATGCCCGGGACCGTGTCGATGGCCCGAGTGTGGAAAAAGCCAAATAATAGTATATGCAATTAACGATTGGTCGAAGACATATTACATTTAGGCGACGGACGTTTTCCATTTGCGCCAAGGCCGTCTGCGGCCGCGTTTCATACACCGAACAAACTAATAATATTGTCGGCCCTTCGAGAAAGATTAATATAATAAGGCGTTGGGTTTCGCCGTGAAAACCATACACCCCCTTTGGCGGTCGACCCGGGCACGCGGTTGTTTTGTGAAAATAATTTACCTCTGTCTGCGGTTTTCCTCGGAGACACGTGCGCGGCGCGGCGGTACCGTCATGAACGTCTACGCGAACACTATCTCAAAACCAGCCCATGAAACAACCCCTGTGCTTAGAGGCCGACGATTGACCAAAACGGACAAACGCGTTACACTTTGACTTTCAGTTAGAGATTTAGAAAATGACTAGGTTAGTTTTTTCTTCGAGTACAGCACAATGTTATCCGGTGTCAACTGTAACAAACCGTGAACAACTGCTGCTGGGTGCCGTTGGCCGGACGGTCGTAAATTCACCGGTACCAGCCCGGCTATACGCTGCTCGTATCACATAAATTACCGATTTCATGTGAGTTACGACTCCGGCACACAGCACGGCGGCACCCGGCCACTAAATAGGACCTAACCCCCGCTATTGAAACACGTCCGGTCCGCCCTGGTCGCGGTATAACGCCAAAACGGTATTAAAAAGTAATAACGTCAAAAGGTAAAGTTGGACTGCGATAACAGTGAAAATAGTCATAACTTTTACAAGCCGACAATTTCAACACATATCGAATTCAGTCGACTACATACATTGTGCAAATTTCAAATGTCTACGTTCGAGTTATCTCGAGAAAAAAATTCCCATTAAAACAAACCCAATTACTATAAAATTGCAATGAGTTCATCTAGACATGCTGGTAACATTATAGGGAAAAATTCGAATCCCCATATAGACGCTATCCAAGGACGTAGTGTAATTGCACAGATGACCAGATACACACAGAATGTCAAGTGGTTCAATTTCGCTTACAACACATGTTGCCTTACTACCATCCAGATATTAGGGGAAAATGATTTCACGGAACCGTAGCGAAATGTCTCAAAAAAATATTTGCCAATTGAAAAGTAGTCATTGATACCAGTGAGTTTTCTGAGTTAAAAAGGAGAGTAGCTTTTTACTAAAATGTATATAAAAAGTTAAAATGATTAAAATTGTAAGAATAGAGCCTGGATGTAGCCAAGAAAGTGTGCTAT